CTGCGCAGCGCCGTCGGCCCACGCCGCCTCTGAGCCCTCCTCCCGACCGCCCACGCCTCCCAGGGTCTGCATCCGGCCTGGCGCGTGAAACCCGGGGTGGCGGTACGTGTGCGTGACATCCCCGTCCATCACGACCACGCGGGCCGGCCGACGCGCCAGGGCCTGGATCGCCGCGGCGCTGGATGCCGGCACGAGCGTGACGAAGCCTGGGCAGACGCTGGAGCATGCGTCGGGCAGGCCGGGCACACAGCAGGTGAAGAGTCTGGAGATGTCCAAGGCAAATGGCGGCCCGCGTGCGTCCTGCAGCTGCAGACGCACGGCGGCTTCCACGAGCGCCATGCAGCCGTCACTGCCGTGACTCAAGCCGGCCGCCAGCTCCGCCAGATCTGTGCACGTCCGCGCCCCAGGAGGGTCTGCGCCCCGGCCCTGTGATGCGCCCGGCTCGCTCGAGCAGGTGCTGCTACCCATCCGACCAAGGTGCCGGCTGCGGCTCAGCACCGACCTTCTGCAGCAGGGCCGCGTGCTTTCAACTGCTCCAACCTTAGCCTGGGAGATGCAGGGTTCCGGTGGTGTCGCACGTTGCTCGGGGAGACCAGAAGTGGTCAACGAGGGAGGGGTGGCTCCATCTTTGAGATGGCCATCTTCCTGTCTCACGGCCGTCCCTGGAGGTGGAACACCACGTGGGCTCACTCTGGCTGCTTCAAGTCCAGACACGGCCCGTGGGCTGTCCAGATGGTCAAACACAAGGTGGACGGGCACTTGAAGGAAAGCCACCTCTTCAATGCACAAGTTCAAGCCTTCTGACATCACGGACACGATGATGGGAATGGGAATACCCAGGTGGAGAAACTCTTCCGCGGCCCGGCTCCATGCGCCTGCAAGAAACAACAGGGTGGTGGTTCCAGTTCCGTGGGCGCCATGTTGGGCGAAGATGGCCTCGTTCAGGAGCTGGCCCACGGCACTGCTCACATCCAGGCTCTCCAGCAGCCGCAGGGTAGAGCTGACCAGCACGCTCTCCTGACATTCAGCGTCTGTGATAAATTTGGATGCTTTTAGGGGGCCCAGGAAAGTTCTTCCTGTTTCTGCAAATGATGACAGCTGTTGAAGTCCTTTGTGCCTTCTGTTGACACCCCAGCAGGCCACTGCCATCAACAGGTACCTGCAAATGAAGCAGTCCTTCCTTAGAATCTCACTTGGCAGGCCTTGTGGCTGCAAATGCTACTTGAATGGAGAATAAAGTTACAGCCCCTGCTTTTGTGGGGTATCTGGCTTCCACTGAATATGGCCCGTGCAGTGATACAGCATGCTAGGGAGAAGGGTGGGTGTGTGGACCATGAACACAATGGAGGACATGGAGCACACACTCAACAGGCTGTGATTCCAGAAGAAGGCAATCCTTAGAATGAGTCTGGAAGAGCCAGGTACTAGTGGCTCACACGCCTGTAATCCTAGCTACTCAAGAGGCTGAGATCTGAGGATTGAGGTTCAAGGCCAACCCACTCAGGAAGCTCTGTAAGACTCTTATCTCCAATTAGCCACCTCAAAACTAGAAGTAGAGTTGTGGTTCAACTGGTAGAGTTCTAGCTTTGAGCAAACAGAGCTCAGGGGCAGCACCCAGGCCCTGAGCTCAAGTTCTATAACCACCACCACCAAGTGTCTTGAAGGACAACTTTAAAGTCTGAAATTGGAGCAGCTAGTGGTAAGTGCACACAGATGTGAAAACACATGGGAATATAAAGAATGTCATATGAGCTGGAGCTCGGTGCTGGTGGCTCACACTTGTAATCCCAAATATTCAGGAGGCATCAAATCCAGCTCAGCAGAATGATGAGAGATTCTGACCTCCAATGAGCCAGCAAAAAGCCAGAGGTGGAGGTGTGGCTGAAGTGGCAGAGCAGCAGCCTTGACTGCAAAAATAAAGCAAGCAAAGCCAAGCAGGAAGCCCTGAGTTCAAGCCCCAATCCTGGCACCAGAACAAGCAAACAAGTTGGTTCATGAATGGCTCTATGGGCTATGCCAAGAAGCTTTAATTTTTCCATGGAATGGAAATCACTGGTACACTGGTGTATTTGAAATAAAAATGAAGAAACAGGCTGATATGGTGTTTGAAAGCTTGGATTTCCACGCTGTTGTAACATTTCTGTGCTTTTTCATAATGTTACACTAAAAAAATAAACAAAGTTACTGATTCATACCACAGTGTGGATGAACTTAAAAACATTGTGTTACATGAAATGCATCAAAGGCCATGTACTGTCCAAATACATGTATAAGTGCTTGTTTATATCCTTTTGGACACACCAAGGGGTGAGCCTGCTGGGTTGTCGTGCCATTCCTGGGGCTTGAACTCAGGCCTTAAACTTTGTCTCTAGCATTATACCACTTTGAGCTACAACTCCTTTTCGGCTTTTTGGTAGTTAATTAAAGAGTCTCACAGATTTTTCTGCCAGGGCTGGTTGTGCACCACGATCCTCAGGTTTCAGCTTCCTGAGTAACTGAGATTACAGATGTGAGCCACTGGCACTGGCTGGCAATTTCATTTTAAGGAACTGCCAAACTCTTTTGTGAAGCAGCAGAGCCCTGGGAGTGGAATTTATCCTTATCTTCACGGCATTCTCTCCCTAGGGCTGCCACACCAGGCTAATACAAAGGGTGGGAGGGGTAAAACCACACTTATTTATTGGCTCAAGATTCTGGAGTCATGACCCTGAAATTCAGGTGTTGGCAGGGCTGCCTCAAGACTTTAGGGAACAACCCTTCCCCCCTTCTTCCCGTTTCTAGCTGTTCCCAGCAGTCCCTGCCCTTTGCTTGCATCACCTCTATCTCCGTTCCAAATGGCCCTTTCCTAATCATGATGTCAGTTATCTGAGGCGGGGCTCGGCCTGATCTGGTTATGAGCTCATCTGAACTAATTGTAAAGACTATGCTCAAATAAGGTCCCATCCCTGTGTGCATGTGTCTGCACCACACCAGTCAATCTTTAGTTCATTTAACATTTTTCTGTTTTTGTAAAATTCAGACATCATAGTGAAGGTGAAGTGAAATCTTACTGGCTTGCATTTTCCTCATGTTACACTGAAAAAGGACAATAAGCAGGGTGCTGGTGGCTCACGCCTGTAATCCTAACTACTCAGGAGGCTGAGATCTGAGCATTGTGGTTCACAAACAGTTGTTAACTACTATCCCTCCACCCCTTCTGATCGATTTTTATCCTGTCTGCTTAGCCTTTCACTGCATTCTCATTTCTGAAACCCTCTGTCATCAACCATGTCCATATGCCTTCTTTTTTTCTTTTCTTCTTGTGCTTGCTCTCTCTTGCGCTCTCTCTCCCTCTCTTTCTCCTTGCTGGTACTGGGGTTTGAATTCAGGGCCTCATGGTTTTTCAGCTTATTTGTTAGGTGGTGCTCTACCTCCATGCCTAATAAACAAGCTGAGCCCTGCCCCTAGTTTGGCTTTTAGGTGGTTATTTGTGATGGAATCTAGTGAATTTACTTATGCTGGCTTCAAATTTCAATTCTCAGATCTCAGCCTCCTGAGTAGCCAGGATCACAGGTGTGAACCACTAAGCTAAGCCTTAACAGAGTCTTAACATGCACATGCTCACAGCTTTCTTTTAGGTGACAGAGTCTCTGTTTATGGTATTCCTAACACTCTGTTTAAACATCAAGATATCACTAAGTGATATTAAAAGAAAAAGCATAAGAAAAGCATCCAGAACTATCTCTTATAGTCTACATTGAGTTTATATGGGGAAAAAGGCATTCCAAAGAATGAAATTACTTAAACAGAATTACTCTATGAGCCAAAAGTTGCATATTCAAATGTTCAAGAGATCTACTTGAGGATTTGAAGAAGTGAGTCCCAGTTTCACTAGTAATTTATAAACAACAAAATAATTTTAGCCATTCAAAAAGAACAGTTGCCATGGTCTGTCTATACTTAACACATACACAGAAATAAAAACAACAACAACAAATTACCAAATTCTTTCCCTTCCAGGAGGCTGGGTCTAGCACAGGATGGAAACTGGCTGGTTCTGAAGATACCAAGGTTGGGAACCTTCTTTGCCCGGGCTGACACGGGGCCCTGCCTGCTCTGCACCAGCACCTGTGCATTCACAGTGGTCTTCACTTCTTGCTAGCCGAAAGAGCAGAGTCAGACTGTTTGACTGGCATCTCAACATTCCAAGTTTGCTTTTCCTAGGATCACGTCTAGTCTTGTCTAAGGACCTGGGTGAGAAACAGGAAGACATGTTCCTCCTGAGTGGCATCAAAATAAAAATCAGTAATTTTCTGATGGCTGTGATTAGCATTTTCATCATCAATACCAATAGTTAGCCCGCATGGAACAAGACTGCAGTTGAATTGTATAATTCCACTGCTAAAAAAACCTCTATCTTTACTCCTTTGTCTAACACAGAAGTCCTTTTTCTTTTTTCTTTCTTTTTAAATTTTTTTAAATTTTTATTTTTTGGTCCATCGTGGGGCCTGAACTGTGGGCCTGGGCACTGTCCCTCAGCAATTCAGCTCAAGGCTAGTGCTCTACCACTTGAGCTACAGCGCCACTTCCGGCTTATGTGGTGCTAAGGAATGGAACCCAGGGCCTCATACACGCAAGGCAAGCACTTTACCACTGAGCCACCTTCCCAGCCCTCTTTTCTTTTCTTGATTTTGTTTTGTGCTGGTCCTGGAGTTTGAACTCTGGGCCTGAGTGCTGTTCCTAAGCATTTTCCACTCAAGGCTGGTGTTTTACCACTTGTGCCACAGTGTTATTTCCGGCTTTCTGCTAAATAACTGAAGACAGTCTAACAGACTTCCCTGCCCCAGCTGGCTTTGAACTTTGATGTTCAGATCTCAGCCTCCTGAGTAGCTAGGATTACAGGCATCCAGCACTCAGCAGGATTCCTTTTTATAAATGAATACTGGTCCTTTTCCTATGCTTAAAACTCACAAAGCCAGCTCCCCACCTTTTCACTCTGAGTTAATGACATCATCTTATCCCACTTCTGTCCTCCTCCTTCCCCCACAAGTCCACCAGTCTCCTTTCTCTTCATGGAACATGTAGATGAGTTCACCACCTTAGGATGTCCATTCTAGTTCTTCCCTCTTTCTGGAATGCTCTCCTCTCTCCCCTCCACACCTTTATTGTCTCAGACTTCTTTTTTGATGAAGTCTACCCTGAGCATCCTGCTAATACCACAATCTCCCCCTTTTCCTTCTATAGTACAGATACCTCTTTACTCTACTTTCCTTTGTTCAATAGTGCCTACAACCTTATAAAATAGCATACAGGTCACTAAGAGAGTAAGGATGATCTTCTGCCGAATGCACTTTCCTGGATTGAGAATGCATGTGCCTATAATACTACCTGACACAGGAAACAAACGTTTGGTTAAGGAATAAATGTTTTCTACACTTGATATTCCAATTTTCCCCCTTTTTCTCTTTTTGTGTCAGTCCTGGGGCTTGAACTCAGGGCCTGGACACTATCTCTGAGCTTCTGTGCTCAAGGCTAGTGACCTGAGCCACAGCTCCACTTCCAGCTTTCTAGTGTTTGATTGGAAATAAAAGTCTCACAAATTTTCCTGCCTGGGATGGCTTCAAACAGCAATGCTCAGATCTCAGCCCCCTGAGTAGCTAGGATTACAGGTATGAGCCTCTAGCACCCACTTTTCCTATTCCAAATTTGAGGATGAATGTGAATACAGATGCCACTCAATACTCTTCCAACATGAATATTTGTTTCAATTACCTTTAGTGTGACCTGGTTCCAAATTTGGTACTGCCTTAGTTGAGACTCTTTTATTGCATCTTAAAGATGATTTCTCCTTCACAGGGCTGTCAGATTTATCTAAGAAAAAGAAAAAATGTAATCAGATACTCACTGCTGAAAAATATTTACCTTAGAATATATTTATCTTAATATAGGTGGTTTTAGAATCTAACTGCCACCTAATTTATAAGATTAACCTATTTCCTTTTCTTTTCTTAAAACTTCATAATTTTTCCCAGGAGAATGTATCATTTTATTTGTACTTTGTCCATACACTGATTTGAATATTCTATCCTTTTTTTTTTCACAGCCTCTAATGCCATATACATTTTCATGAACCAAGGAAAATGTCATTTGTGTGTGTGGGTGTTGGTCCTGGGGCTTGAACTCAGGGTCTGGGTGCTTTCCCTGAGCTTTTTGTGCTCAAGGCTGTCACTCTGCTTTTTGAGCCCCAGCTACACTTCTGGCTTTGGGGGTAGTTAATTGGAGATGAGTGTCTTAGGATTTTCCTGCTCAGGCTGGCTTCCAACGGTGATCCTCAGATCTCAAGCCTCCTGGGTAATTAGGATTACAGGTCTGAACCACCAGCACCAGCTTCTTTTGTTGTTTTCTGTGCTTGTACTGGCAAGCTTGAACTCAGGGTCTTAATCTCTTGCTTGGCTTTTTGCCTCAAAGCTGGCACTCTACTAT